CTACTTGGACCCTCCACCTTGATCATGTGAGACAGGTACTAGAAGTCTTAAAACAAAATCAATTCTTTCTCAAGCTAAAGAAGTGTGAGTTTGGGCTACAACAGATTGAATATCTGGGGCACACTGTCACTTCTGGCGGAGTAAAAGTTGATCAGAAAAAGATTCAGGCTATGATCCACTGGCCTCCACCAAGCAACACCACCGAACTCAAAGGCTGCTTAGGAGGTACTATAGAAAGTTTGTGTGGAATAATGGTTACCCAAACCACTGACCAACCTGTTAAAGAAAGGGAAATTTGAATGGACATCAGAAGCAGGGGAAGCATTTGAGAACTTGAAGAAAGCTATGACCACCACACCAACTTTGGCTTTACCCAACTTCAATGAGCCATTTACCATTGAAACAGATGCTTCAGGAGAGGGAATTGGGGCTGCCCTCACTCAAGATGGAAAACCCATAGCCTACATGAGCAGGGCCCTCAGAATATCAAAGCAGTCTTGGTCCGTCTATGCAAAAGAAATGTTAGCAATAGTCGTGGTTGTACACTCTGGAGACCCTACCTCCTTGGCCATAAATTTTTTATCAAGACAGATCAGATCAGTCTCAAGTATTTTCTATGGCAAGGCATCATTACCCCAAAACAACAGAAATGGATGTCCAAGCTCTTCGGTATGATTATGAGATTCTCTACAAATCAGGAAAAAAAAACTTTGCTGCAGATGCCCTCCCTCGTAAAGAAGGAAGTCCCATCTTGCATCACCTATCCGCTCCTCACTGTAATATATGGGACAACATTCAAAAGGCAGCACTCGAGCATCCTTATATGCAGAAACCTAAGAAACTAGCCTCCGACAACCCAAGGCAATCATACACCGAGAAAAATGGGCTGGTCTACTATAAACATCGGGTAGTGGTACCCCCAGATACCGAGATTAGTCAACAGTAACAACAAGAATTTCATAACTCTCTATTAAGAGGTCATTCAGGTGTACTTAGAACTTACAAACGCCTAGCCCAACAATTTTACTGGCCCGTAATGCGCAAAACAGTTCATCAGTATGTATCGGCCTGTGACACATGCCAAATGACAAAAGTGGAAATTCTCTCCCCTGTACGTC